GTGGCTGTGCTGTTTGGCTTGGCTTTGCAACAGGAGTTATAAATAAAAATGTCTCACCAAGAGTGCGTGACTCACGGTCCTCACCACAAGGATAACCTCTCTGCTAGGAAACCTGATCCGAGGACCGAACTGCGGCATGCAAGAATCAAAAGCATTGCTTAATTAATATATTTAATCCAAATGGCGAATGGATGAGCCCCTCACCCTACTTGGCTGGGGTGGGCTGCGGGGGAAGGTGCCTGTGCCCCTCTGGACCCCTGTCCTGTGCCATGCCCGACCTCTGGCTGCCGACAGCCCAGCCCTTGACCTGTTCTGGGCCCTGGTGGTTTCCCTCAGACAGTAGCAGGGAGCTGTGGCAGTGGCTGACGTGGCCTCGAGCAGCTTCAGCCTCAGCGTCACCTCCCGCCACCCTCCGAGGGGGCAGCTCGTGGGTGCTGCTGTCACCTCACCCTGCTTGGGCAGGGTGGGATGCGGGGATGGGCTGAGGCATCACCCCTCGCACCACACACTGTGTCAGCCCTGTGCACCGGGACACGGCCATGCCTGCAGCCTGGGCAGTGGGCGCCCTCGGAGGCTGGGGCTGGAGTGCCTCTCCCGGGATCACACGCTGGCTGCAGGGCTCCATCCCACTGCCGTGCTCTGCCCGCAGGGATGCCTGGGTACTGCATCCTCCTGCTGTGCTGCCACCCTGGAGCTGGAGCCTGGCTCCACGGGGAGAGGGAGACCCCGTGCCCCAGTGCCCCAGCCCGGTGGGACCCGGTTTATCCCGGGGGTAGGCGACGGTGGGGCGACAGCTGGCTGGGGGATTTGCCGAGGGCATTATTTAATGCTGTGGATAAACGGAGAAACAGCAGCTAATTCTGGAGCCCGTAATCCTCTTCCTCCCCCGGGGATGGGGAGCGTGCCAGTCACGCAGCGACCGGCGCACCCTGGGGACAAGCTCCTGGCAGGTCCCCAGGCGTGCTGCGGGCCGGAGCGACTCCCAGACCATGGGTGATGTACAGAAGGTAAGCGGGGGGGGTCTGGCGACATCCCGCCTGTGCCAGGTCCCGGCTGCACCAGCTCCTGGCTGTGGTGTCAAGCAGCCTGGCAGAGCAGGACCAGGGCTTTACCCTGGGGATGTCCCCCCGCGCGCCCAGGAGCTGGCAGGGCTCCCAGGCCAGGGACAGCACAGCTGGGGCAGGGATTGGGGCTGGGCAGATCTGCCGTGGGGCCGCCCTGAGCCTGAACACCTTGGGAGCCAAGCCCTGGTGCTCACTCAGGCCATAGACACAGGTACCCATGGCCAACAGCTCACCCAGTTCCCCCCTCCAAAATGAGTGTGTTCTGCAGCCACCCGGCACCCCGCAGGGCTCCTCCAGCAGCACCCTGCGCCCCCAGGGGCTGCTCTCCGTCATCCAGAGGCTGAAGGGTTCCCCGGAGCAGGAGCTCCGCATCGTCCTGCTGGGGCTGGACAACGCGGGGAAGACCACACTGCTGAAACGCCTGGCATCCGAGGAGGTCAGCACCGTCACCCCCACCCAGGTAGGTGCTGCTGGGGGCCTGGGCAGAGAGAGGGTGGCAGGTCCTACCCTCCCCTTGGGTAATGCCAGGGTTTGTGTCCCCATGCAGGGCTTCAACATAAAGAGTGTCCACTCGCACGGCTTCAAGCTAAACGTCTGGGATATTGGGGGGCAGCGCTCCATTCGCCCGTACTGGAGGAAGTACCTGGGCAGCACCGACCTGCTGGTGAGTGGGGCAGCTGCCTGCAGCCCACCACAGCCCTGCAAGTGGAGAGCCGTGCCCTCTGCGTGGGGCCCTGTACCCCAGCAGAAGGCAGAGGGCTGTGCAGCCGGGCAAGGAGGAGCTGCTGACTGTCTCTTTTGTCCCCATGACAGATTTATGTTATTGACAGTGCAGACCAGAAGCGTTTTGAGGAGACTGGGCAGGTATGAGGGGTCTGGGTGTGATGTGGCTGTGGGGTCCTGGGGCTCGGACCTGGCTGGCACCAGCTCTTTGAGGACTGGAGAGGGGAGTGAGGCTGCTCTCTACCATGGGGCAGCACCACTGTGGGAACCAGGCTGTCCCCAGAGCTGTGTGGGAAGGGCTCGTGACCGGGGTCTCAGCACCTAGAGCCACCCCATCCCATGGCAGATCTGTGCCCAGCAGCTCCCCCCGAGTGGGGTGTGATGCCCCAGGGGGACCCGACATAGGGGTGACTCTGCCCCTGGTGAGAGCAACCCCTTGGTCGCCAGCCTCACGCCCTCCTCCCACCTCCCCAGCACCAGGTTAGTGATACGACCAAGCAAAGGTTTATGAGTAGTGAATTTAGAGTTACAAACGCCAGGAACGAAGCCGGAGAGGGGAAGGTGAGACTCTGAGTGCCAGTCTTGGCTGTACCGGCACCAGACGGCGGCGTGGGTGTGCCAGACAGCACGGGGCTGACAGCAGCCTCCTGTAGCTGCCCTTTGCCCAAGGCTCTCCGTGCTAGGACTGCTTCAGCCCTCAGGTAGTTCTGCGTGTGGCTCCTGGGCTCTCTTCAGGGCAGATGGAGCTTCAGGGGTGCGTGTCTCTCCCTCGGGATGTCGAGACCTCACAGCTTCTGCTGGCTGCAATAAGAGCACCTGAGAGAGGGGAGTGAGGCACTTTGGGGGACTGAGGTGCCCCAGCCTGCCCTGGGCAGCTCTGTGGAGGAGGGCAGGGGTGGGCAGCAGCCCTGGGAGATGGTTCTCTCTTGGCAGGAGCTGGCAGAGCTCACCGAGGAGGAGTCCCTCATGGGGGTCCCGCTGCTGGTGTTTGCCAACAAGCAGGACCTAGTGACTGCAGCACCCGCAGCTGAAATCGCGGAAGGGCTGAGCCTCCACACGTACCGGGACCGGGAATGGCAGATCCAGGCCTGTTCAGCCTTGTCTGGGGAAGGAGTGCAGGTAGAGAGATGGGGGCCTGCAGGCTCTGCAGGGGTGGGAGACTTGGACCCAAGGACCTGCCATGCTCCTGGGGCTGTGCTCATGTCTCTCTCTTCCCTCCAGGATGGGATGAACTGGATTTCCAGCCAGATCATGAACAGGAAAAAGTGAGAGCTGCGAAGTGCCGGGCTGGACCGAGCCATGGCCACCCCCCCAGTCCCTAGACTCCCCCCTCAAGGGCTCGGCTGGGCCCTGAGCCTCAGACTGCCGTGCTCAGATGGACTTCCTACCCAGCCCTTCACTGATTAGTCGGCTTCCCCTCTCCCTGCCTCCTGGGCTTCCATGGGCTCCTGGGACCCCCCAACCCTCCTGCAGCCCCAGTGCTGTTGGAGGGAAGCACATGTCCCGTTGTGTCAAGGGCTTGCATGCCTCGAGAACCTCCTCAGGACTTGTCCATCCACACTGCTGGCACATCCTGCAGAGGCTGCTGCAGCGCACCCACTGCCCAGGGCATGCTGGACACCCCACCATGGCACTGGCTACACCCTCAGACATGGCATGTACAGCCAGCCGAATGGGGTGTATTGCCCTCCGCTCATGCAGGATGTGACCCGTGCTGCCCCAGCCATGGCAGCTGGCTTGGGAAGGCCTTGGTTCAGTGTCTTTCGCTGGCCAGAGGAGCTCCCACGTGTGCACAGGACCGGAGACAGGCACGAAGACAGAGAGAGGGCCTGACTGTGCAGTCACCAGTGGAGGGGTTTCATTGCCTGGTGACAGACTTGGCTGCAGCCATGCTGCACATGCCACCGAAGGGGGCTGCTCTGCAAGAGCCCCTGGGAAGCCCTGAACACACCCAAGCTGGGGCTTCTGTTGCCCCGCTGAAGGTTCCCAACACAAGGACTGGAAGATGCAGCTCCCTGGCCACCACAGCTGCCATGGCTGAGCGCCCGCGCCACCGGGGGTGGGCAGGAGACAGGCTGGAATGGGGGAGGGGAGGCCC